ACCAAAGGAATATGAAAAGATAGGATGCGGGCTTCTAATAAAGGGACAATTGATAATATTCATAACTCAAACACTTCAAAATAAAAAAATTACTAATATGAAGTCAAGAATAAAACCAAGATGTTAATATTTTTGGCTACTAAACTGTCTTCATGCATTTAGAATCCAAAAGTTTGAAAGTTTCACTAAATGCTGTCATTATAGAAACAGAGTTTGCATGACAGGATGTGCCAATAATTCAAAGGATAAAACACTGAGCAGATAAAAATAAAAATAAACTATGCATGACGTAGTGTGTCAAATCCTTATTTTAGTGTTAATTTGAATGATGTAAAGTACCAATATCTTTCTATATGTTTGGCCAAACTTTTAAACATTCAAGTTCTAGATGCCTAAAGATAACTTATTAGATAAAAACGTTAATATCTTTAGTTTTTACTCTTGACTTTACGTAAGCAGTTTGCCTTTTTTACAACTTAATATGATTCAGTATTCAAAATAAAGCAAAGCACATCAGAATTATATTATAGAAAGGTCTTTGACTCTGTTTTGTTAATGTAACTTTAAAAAAGAAACAACTAAAGTAATTATGTATTCAAGTATTTTAAATTTATATCTAACTTCTGCAAAAAAATGAAAAGATCTCTAAATTAAATAAATATGTTCATTCTTTTCAATTTCTTCTTGTAATTTTTTTTTCTTGAAGAACTTAGAAATAAATTTAATGAAAATATTCTAATATATTTATTGTAGTTGTCAGTTTTGTTAACATTACTTTAAATAAAAGATATCAAAGAACTTTTTACAATGTCATTTAGTGAATCTTAACTGATTTGTAGCGATTTAGCATGAGGATTAGTATTTAATTAATATATTTATATGATAAATAGACTTGAGTTTTGCTTTTACTGTATTAAAACGAATCTTTTAATAATGATAGTAAATGTACATTTTAAAAGTGCTAATGTAATTTCATATTATTTCTGAAACTTTTATTTGAATAAATTTGTTTGAAATTAATTCTGGTAATTTATTTAAACAAACATTTTATTCGTTGAATAATTTTTCGAATAAATTAATCTAAAACATGAAAATAAAACACATCATTTGATTTTTTTTTTATCATTAAAATTTAATTTATAATGAAAATGACATCATGAATTGAATAACTTGCTTATACATAAATAATAAAAGGAAATTCAAACTGCTTGTTAATTATGGAAACCAAAAATAAAAATTTATTTGGAATGTTCTCAATTCTTTGTTGACTATTCCCAAATAGTAAAAATGTTCTGAATAAATTCTTATTATTTATTTCTTTAACACACTGATTCTCAATCCATGTTTTGCAAACTGGCCCCAATTGTCTCACAAAAAAAGGTTTCATTGCAAATTTATTTCTATATAATACAACTTATTTGTAGACAATTCCATGTTTTTATTTTATTCAATACGATGAAGCTTATTAGTTTATTGTGTCATTTTTTTGTGAGAATAGTAAATGTGACTGCAGGGTTGGCGCCTCTTTGGCACCTTGTCAGGATGACACCACTGTGTCTTTACGGACAGAGAGAGAAATTGGATTGGCCGCTTAATTTTGTTGCACAAGCGATTACATTTGTAGACTTTCAGATCTGGAATGGAGGCGGAAGGAGAGGACCAAAAGAAGTACGCTCCACAAGTTATCATATAATAAAAATACCTGTTTATTAATCGATATTGATTATTTACAAGCTGTATATAGATGCTTAACTAGAGCTAATAATAAGATGACATATAGCATAACTACTATGACCCTGACAAAGAGAGAGAGAGAGAGAGTTCACATTAAGTTCGCACGAGGATAAATATCTTTAGAGCTCGTAGAATTCTACTCTTGAGTTTTCACATGTGGGGAGTCATTTCTGTTGGAGTGGTAACAAATCCTTCGGAATAGCGACGGCTAGGAACAGTGATTGCAGCAGCAAATGGTGAGCGGCTGGTCACACACACATAATTCAATAATAACTGGATGACTCTGTTTCACTCATCGACCCCTCCCTTTTATTAGGGGGTCAGTCCTGGATTTTTCCCATGGCCTTATTAGGAGTTTTTCTACAATTGTCCAATAGTTGAATTTTTGTCGTAGATTCTGGGTGTGATACTAGGAAGCTGTGTCACCTCCGAAAGGAAGTGAATCCAGCGAAAGATATGATTGTATCCTTCTTGTTTTTTATTAAGTGTTGGGAAAGTTTTTTTTTTTTCATATAATTATTCATTATTTTGCTTTATTTTAAAGCTAACACGAAAGTTTATAAATTTATAAGAGCTTATCAAATCCAGGCACTCACATAAACATTAATCCTATCGATTTTTGAATATATTAATACTAATGCTCTGCATTATAAAAAGTATTCAAAAGGTGTTCCGCAGCTTAAGAAAGCTCCAGAACCACTACTTTGAGAAGTAGTTAGAATTTATTTTTATTTAAATATGGTTACCAAGTTTTATTTATTTCCAATATATAAATTTTTACAAATATAGAATATAGTTATCTCAAGATAAATAAATGAAGCATATAGTTTCAAAACTGATTAGCTANTTTCTCACACAAGAGAAAATGGGTTAGGGTGTGTTGGGTATAACTTTATGGAACAAAGGGGGCGGTGGATCGAAAAAGTTTGAGAATCACTGGTTTATTCGAATGCCATCTGTCTTATCCATCTTACAGAACCTCACGTAGACGACTGCAAAACTTAAAATTTGAAAGTCGAATAGTGTACAAAGTATTTGATTTTTTAAAAATAAAAGTTGGTGGTATGGTTTTAATTTTGGATGAAACGTCACCGACTGCAAGCGCTGATTATAACCAGTACTAATACATATTATGGTGAAGTAACCTTACAAAATCATGCTGTCTTGGCTACTCGTTCACTAGTCTTTACGTTAAGTGGTATATTTACGAGGTGGAAACAGACTATTGCATACTTTTATACTAGCAAATCAAGAGATTGTTGTTTTAAAAAATATCATATAGCGAAGATGTGGGATTAATTGTCTAACATCTTCACTTATACCTAACATCTGATATAGATCTATAAATCGGGCGATGTCAAAAGCCTTTGGCATCGTTCGTGGAAAATTCAGTAAATGTCTGTATTATATTCCACACCCGTATCGTTCGGAAGATTGAATTTATTGTCGATCTAGTGCATTTTTTAAAATATTTATTTTTGTAACGATATAAATATGTACTATAGAATTATACAAAAGTTAACGAATCAAAGGAAAACGGTAATTTCTTTTATAATTTTAAAAATAAATGACCCGGTGAATAGGCGGGACGACGGGATAGATACTTACATACAGATACAATATTGTAAAAGGATATAATAATAGTTTTTACAGAAGTATCGGTATGGCTTCATCTTACGATAGCCTTTTGCATTAAGGCACAATTTTTGATAGATTATATGTAAGTATATATAAATATGGACTTCTTTCTTGTGAATACAGTCTCGTTTCATAATGAAAATGAGTCCGAATATTAATTTACACGAAAATTGAGCTGTGGGACTTAGCCNCAAATATAGAATATAGTTATCTTAAGATAAATAAATGAAGCATATAGTTTCAAAACTGATTAGCTAATTTTTTTTAAAAGATGGACTTAAGTGATCTTACATTTTTTTCTGTTCTTTTCAGTGATGATTGCTATAAATTCCTAAACTAGCCATAAAACAGAAAGAAGGAATAAAGGGGGTATACAAGTTTGAGATTAGTTTCAAAGTTAGCCACATCTGCAGCCATTATGTTTCAGACCCAGCAAATGTGGAGTTGGCTATTTTTAAAACTATACACCTCAATATACTGAATATGTAACTATATTTTAACTGCAAACTTGCAAACTGTTGTACAAAATTTGTTGATAAGTAGATAAAATCATCTTTATTAATTTGGTATTTTTGTTATTTTCAACATTTATCCTGTATATTAACAACAACAACAAAAAATCAGTTTGTAAAATATTTTTGGTTGAGTATGCATTGATTATTTAATAGTTGTTTTTTCTTTGAAACTTTTAAAAAAAATCCAGCAATGAGTTGCTTAACTTTCCCAGCAACATTTGGTGGCGCCATCTGTTATGATATTTTAAAACTGTTTTATATTACTAATTATTATAACATGGCAGAAGGCTTAATTTTGAGGGTAGGGATGAGTTTCTTTAGAAAATTATAAATGCTAATAAGTAAAATAGTCATTAAGTCTGACTCTACTGGAGATACACACGACCTCCTTTATCTCCCCACCCCTTCACCTTTGACCACCAAAATTTAATATAATCAATTGCCCTAATAAACAAACCTCCTTGCAAATTCCAGACATTTTCGACAAAAAGCACAGGAGTTATTAAGCTTCAAACAGTGAACAAAATTTTGCCTCTCTCCCACACACACTAACATCCATATATACAGAAAACAACTCCAAATTTTTTGCATTTCTCAACATTTCAAGGTGTCCTGAGTCCAAAAATGTAATACTTTTGGGGGGTCAGTTTTTGACCAATTACCATACTTTCCCTCTGTTATATAAGTAAAAAGGATTCATATAGTCACACTTATTCTGAATAAGTATAATCTGATTAAAGCCAAATGATCTTTGTCAAACATATTGGGCTACTATTTGGCTACATTAAAAATTAGTTACTAATTAATTTAACTGGAGGTAGGCAGTTAAGCTGCCATCTTGTATTAATTTTAATAATTACAATTTCGACAAAGATTGTTTGGCCTTAATCAAATAAAATTTGATTATATGAATATTACTTTTTTGTCCTCTGTGGAAGAGAATATTTGCATACCGGGCGTGTTGAATGGTACAGTGGCTTAATACTGCTGGATAAGCAAGCCAATAGCGTATCCTGTTTCAAATGAAACGACCGGTGTCATTGGCTCGATTATCCAGCTTTATTATAATTGGTTTAACACACCCTCTGTGTCGGGTATAAATATGGACGAATGATTCATTTTGTTATTGTTCTATAGTTTTCGTTATTGCTATATAAGGCATATTTTTTTAAGTACAGCAGCTAGCAGCTTCTTTAGGAGATGGATACTCTAAAGGGAGTAGGTCAAGAAGTTAGTCGAAAGACAGTCGACCTTTTAACAAAGTTTAATGTTAATGCACACTTACAAATGAATCTTTATAACTTAAGGTGGTGGGAAGTAAGTATGAAATAGTTCTATAAATTGGAATTTTCAATCATTTCGATATCAAGGATTTTAACATATTATATGAATAAGTATCGGTACGTATTAAATGTTTGTTTTTTTCCTTTCCTTCAGATTTGCTGCCTTTCCGGTTGTTTCTTAGGTATCCCTGTTGCTTTTTTGACGCTCGTGTCTTGGCTGCAGATACCAGATAAAAGCCCCAACGAAAGAGATGACGCGAGCAGCGGCAGTGGAAATGGCAATGGAAACGGTAACGGTAATGGCAACGGTAATGGTGGCAAAACTGTGTCTATTACGAGTAGTATTCTCTACTTCGCTTCTCTAATTTACTCCTTTACCATGTACCTGTACATTATAAGCTGTTCTCATTTCATGCTGGTAAGCCATTCGTATGATGTCAAAGATACTTCTGGTGTGGGTAAAATCAATGTGTTTTTGAAATGTTTTTCTTTTTTTTTCTTCCTACAGGACATGATATTGAAAACTATAGAACCTGACTCGATACCTTCAAAGGACGAATGACGCATACAACGTCGAAAATATCTCATTTGATGATGATCGTTACTCTGACATGGAATAGGTGCTCTGATCCATAAGCTTTGAGTCACTGTTTTTTTTTTATAAATTTTTAACGATGCAACCTTTTAATTTATTGTACAACAAAAAATAATAAAATCTCTAATTGGAGAATAACAAAAATTACTGTTTTTAAGAATTATTTTTTCTACTGAAACTTTTTTAGATGTTTAAACAGTTTTATATCTTTTTTTTTCTACTGAAAACTAAAACAGCTGTTCCTTACATCATCACATGGCATAAAGAAAATTACGCGTATATTTGATATGGTATCTTCTCTTTTTTCAATGATGTTTACATGTTAATGTAAATCCTAGTATAAAAAATTTATCGCACACAATCGTTTTGTCGATCTAGTCAATTGTATGTATTCTATCATTAGCCTGTTTGGGACCGGGAATCGAATTCGGAAGCAAGTAAAGTTTTTTCATGGGCAATAAAGGAAGCACAAAAGATATATTACTTTTCAACTAATAATACAATATTGACTTCACTCTAAACATGCAATATTGCAATTTACAACTCTAAACATAAGTTTCATAATGAGTAAAACGAGGAAAATTAAAATACGTCTCGAGAAGAACCAATAGACACGTACAGTACAAGAAAAAATTAGTTGCTTGAGTAGTGTAATGTTTAAACTTAATCTTAATAAAATTAACAATAAAAAAATACAATGAATTTTGTAAAATGTTTAATATTTTTCACGACAAAACTTTAACAGTTAACGCTTTTGTCACAAACCTTTATTTTGATCACAGCATCTAAAACTAGGCAGTTCAGTTATTTTTTTGTTTTTCAGTTATTTTTTTAAAGCACATATGCGTACATAACCAGCATAGCTGGGGATAGGGTACATAAATACAAGTTACAGGAGAGCAATATATGTATATAATTATACACTTACAAAATAAAATAGGAAATAACATGGTAGCAGAGTGTAACATTAAATCGTAAGACCTACAATAATGTACAGTAGACACATGCATATTGTGCTGATAACGCTGTAAGTGAATATACAACGAAAGACGAGCACAGTTTAAATATACAATACATAATAAGAGATAGATATTTTACAAAACAAATTACAGGTGATCAATATATGAATATAATTAAGAACACACAGAATAAAGTAAAGAGGAAAGTAGTAGNATATTAAAATATTTCAAGAACATTTTAGTTTAAATGTTTAGAATTAAATATAATGTGAAAGAATTATTATTATACTTTGGATTATATTTCATATATTTTTGCAAAGATTACAAAATCTTTTGTGGTAAAATACCATTAATTGAAATGTAGCAAATACAAAAATGTTCAAATTTTTTATGAATAGTAGTTTCAATGTAAAATCATTTAAATATCAAGTAAAAGTAAATAATAATGTTTAAAATATTTGGAAAATCATCTTCTATAAATTTAATTTTACAATGTGATTGTAAAGTCCCTCTTTAGCGGACTCTGCTTGTATGGCTAGACTGATGGTGATATCATAACTTTAACTCTTTTGATGCCCAGTCTGCCTGTGACATCATTACTTTGTTCCTGGAAATTCTTCCCATTTTTCCACCCATTACAGAGGGACTTTATAATTGTACTGTAGAGTTTTAAATTTTATTTAATCTCATTGAAAAGTTGTTTGATACTTATTCAGTGATACCACTATATATAAAGGTATACACAAATATGGTAGGTTAGGTTCCAGACCACTGCCTTAAAGCAAATCACACCCATTTTTACACTCTATTAAGTTTGCAATAGTGTCAGGCTTAAAAGTAGATGCGAAAGCAAAAATAATAAATAAATAAACCTAAAAAATCCTCTTAAGAGCATAGCAATTATCAAAAATAATAACATGAATATAATTGAAAGGCTTCACTTTACACTACATTGCTTTTTATATCAGAAACTGTTAATTAATTTTTCAGTTATTAGCTCTGAAGCTATTTGATGCAAGGACTTTCCTCGTAATGTTACAATTACTTCTCTAATATCTCAGCTTAGTACATTTTTCTTTTATTTTACTAATTTACAATAAATGAGTATTGCTTTTGATGTATAACTTGCAAATTATAAGTAGATTATATCCAGTAAACATTAATTAAGTAGGAATACTTTATTTTTAATTGTCAGGTATTTTTTATCAGTGCTAGAGATATTCAAACTTTGTCACTTATTTTTCTAATAATTTATGCAAAAATAAAATGCTGCTAATAATCAAGAGATGTTTGAGATATTTTTAATTCTTTTTTTTATAAATCCATAAATTTGAATTATTCTTGTGAGCTTTCATTAACATAGTACCAGTATGACAATTTCTGAATTTAAAATCTTTTAATAATATAAATAACATTGTATGCAAATTAATAATAATGAATACTATTATATAATTCTGATTTAATAAAATATTTTCATTAATAAGATTTTAATTAATTATCCAATTTAGAGCATATTAAAATTTCACTCAAATGTAATTATTAATAATATAGGCTGTAACAGATTTATTAAAGTTAAACAAATGTTTTAGAGAATAGACCTTTGCCATTATTACTTAATAAATGGGTACACAATGAAATTTATTGGAACAATGATAAACATTAACCAAATGTTCTATTTTAGTTTCCTTCTGCTAATCAATGTCTCCAATTTGATAGAATGAAGGTACTGAATTTGTATAATTAGTATATTATTAAACTCTTTAGTTATGATATTTGCAAATTTTGGTATGGATTTCTGAAATATTTATTGAATGTTAATGGTTTATTAGAAACTGATAAAATTCAGATATGGTAGTGAAACAATTTGCACCTTAGTATTACATTAAGAATAAAAACTGTCATTTCTTTACTGGTTTATGAGAACCGTAGACTTATAAATCTTTGTAATTTTTAATCCAAAATAGCCGTTGCCTTTCATTTCATCCACGTCTCCAGTTATCCGAGATAACATCAATCCACATTACTCCAGGTAAATGGGGTTCTTCTGTACTGAGATGACAAATAAAGATTTTATTATTAATAATTTAAATTAATTTTTAATTACTAATTTAGATTATTAAAATTATTAATAGGTCATAATTTACTCATTTTTAAATAAAAATTCTTCTATTCGTTATCATTTGTTTGTCATTGTTTATTAATATAATAGAGTGGAATGTGATAATATACCTTGTATATACTGTACAAAAGATAAAGGCTAAATATTTCTTTTACAGTTTTAATTTAATAATACTTTTACTTTTAAATATTGTATTTATTATATATGTTTTAAAAAATCTTTGTCATCTTAGACTGTAGAATCCCATTTATTTAAAAATGATATTCCAATTACAGTCTCCATTCGAATTTACTTAGGTAAACCTGATGGTGATCATTTAAAACAATTGAAAATGTTTGTTTTGTTTATTAAATTATTTTTCCTTGCTGGATTTTTGCTATTAGAGTGTTTATTTGAATTGCATCCAGTTGTACAAATTGTTTATTTAAAGAATAAAACAACTTGATGAGAAATATAATGCCAATATATTTTCCAAAACATTAAATTGAATAAAAGGTCAAGTGTAAACTTGATGGCAAAATGTTTTAAAGAATAGAATTAGAAATTAATAAGTAAGAGTTGTAATGACAAGAATATAATACCATTCCAGAAAGCCAACTAAAGTGAAATGGAGATATACTGAAGATGGAAAAAAAGTGAGAGTATCCGTCAGAACAGGTTATATCATACCACTTCCTCTTAAGGCGTTTGAAACTTATGACTATAAATCTAAAGAATTATACGTTGGTAATTATAATTAATTATAACATATCACTTAATGAAATAGCTATTGTTTAGAAAATACTTTTCTTAAACTATATATTTTTTTCTTTTAGATCAACCAAAAGACACACCAAAAGAAGTCATTAAAGAAATCACTTTTATTCCAAAACTAATGACATTTGAGCAAGAAATTATGGAAGATCTGGGAATTAAAGAAGAACGTAGGCCATTCTTAACATATTGGTATTAGCCTTATACATTTTATGATAGGTCGGCTATACATAAAAGTTTGTATTAAAAAAATTGTGTATGAGTTAATGATAGAAAATAAATTGATTTTGAAGAATATTGATGTATACTTTCTGAAATAAATCAAAATTTTATTATGAAAATTCAAATTATACTGGAATATCAATAAGTGATATGCAAGTACATTTAACTAGTGGGAACATTCCAATATGCATCAGTCTCAGCCACAACCAATGCACTGGTGAATGGTTTATTAGGCTTTTGCTGGAATGTTTTGCAACCTAACGAGACGATGGAAGCAAACAGAACTATATTGACATTTGCGGACTTATTTTGTCAAAATAACTGGGTTAATATACACAAGTAGTAAAAATGGTGTTAATAATATAATTGTAAAGGTGGCCATATTGCTTTGTCAAAGCTCACTGTATCTGCAGCCCAACAAATGCAAACTGCATTGGTCTCTGCACCAATAAACTCATCAGTGAATATAGGAACACACTTTAGTACATTGTGGTTCACTAAAGAGCTGTTTGATGTTCATTGAATTTATCCAATATTACATGTGTAAAGAATATAATGTCTAGAAACAGTAGGGTATAAATACAGTCTCTCCTTGACTTACAATGGGGTTATGTTCCAAAAAACACATCGTAAGTCGAAAATATTGCAAATTGAAAATAAAAATAAGTACTGTAAATAATAGAATGCTATATGCAAGGTTATACAGTAAGTAACATTGTATTATAAAGTGTACAGAAAAAAGGAAAGAAAGAATGAATGAAACAAAATAAAACGTACAGAAGTATATTGTTTTAATGTTACACACACAGTAGTCTTTCAAATATTGTAACATCACCAGAAAAGTATGCAATAGAATTTTATTATAAAAGTTTTAAAAAAAATAAATAAAGGAAATGATGGAATATTAGTTGCTGGATGAAAGAGATGCTATGGCAACAGCACAATCAATATCTTCTTAATCACACTTCCAGACAAGGTTCTAGAAGGTGCAAGTGGCTTGAATTGAAATTATAACAGTTTTCACACTTCCATTTCACTTGCATCAGCCATTATATGTCAAAACATTGTAAGTTGAAGAGCATCTGTAATTGTATAGGAATCCAAATGGTTCAGGCAATATATTGTCTATCTGACACTTGGATAGTTTGAATTTATTAATCTATTCCAAACTTTTCTTTGATGCATGCCTATAATTGGCTTTTGTAACAGATTCATCCTCTCTTCAAGTGAATATTTGTAGCAATCATAGAAGCTAAAGGCTACAAAGCATCATATTAGCTGTAACATTTCCTTCTATTTTCAATGGTTACACATCAGTCCAGAAATTTACTCTTTTTTTCCAAACATTTTACAAACTAAATTGCTGACCATTTTATATTAATGTAATATGCTATCAATGTACCACAAAGAAACTTTAGATATGGAAAATTAGTTATATAAATTTATATCTTACTGTCATTCTGGATTCAATTGATCATATTGTCTGCTAAAATCAATAAACTATACAAAATTGTTATAATTTGCTTTATTATTTTTATTTAGAGTAATTGTGAAATAAATAATATGCTTCTTGACCCTGTAAAAAGTATAACATGAGAATATTGAGCAAATATCAATTTTTGTTTGAAGTTTCAGGAGAGTGCAATAGTCATCTTGCAACATTTTTCTCTTTAAGTCAAAAAATTACTTGAAATATTCAAAGAATCATAGCCAATATATTGATACTTACCAGTATATTTTCACAGAAGAAAATTTCTGCAAATGCTTCTAGGTGTATAGAAAAAAAAAATTGATAGAAATTGTATGTTGCTTTTCAAAAAACTATTTTCAGGGAGATAGACTTAATAAGTAATAATTGGATTGCAATTTTCAAAAATTGTATACCTATAAATTCCCATTGGCATCTGTTTGTCAATCTGTCTTTAATTTCAGAACAGAGATAGATGAAAGTTGAGACCTGGTATAGAAAGCTTAGTGGCATCAATTAACTATATACAAACTTCTAATTTGGACTGGAATTCATGTTATTTCAATTCAAAAATTTGCTCCTGAATGGAGTTTAGCTAGACAATTCGTTTGTGAACGGGAAAAGTATGATTTACAGGGGCAACATACTACGAAAATTAAGAATAGTGTGACCAAAAAATGCAGCCTGGCATTGTGATACTGTCGCAATAAATAATTGCTCCTTTTTACAATAAAATTTTCTAATATCTTTAGTAAGATAAGTCTCATTACTTTTGTGACAGAACTTATAAATGTAAAACTTTGTTAATCTTTTAATACAGTTATATTTATATGCAAAAAAACATATATTATCTCTTTACTTAGAGATCAAAACAGTGAATTCAGCATTGTAAAGAATTTAAAAACAAAATTTATTAATTTGTTGTGATATAATTTTTGATGATAATTCCTCTAGTTTTATCTCTAATACATTAGTGTTTCCAGATAAACAATTGAAGATACAAGTAGACTGTCATAATTGTCCTTTGTGGATGAAAGTATAATGAATTTCTCTCTCACATACCACCAAAGATCTCAAATTAAATGACACTATAATATTCACTACAACACACTATTTTATGAATATATTTACACAGAAAAAAAATTATATACTGAAAACTTGAGCAACAATTCACTGGAAACTTTGATTTTGTAACATAACACCTTCATCCACTTATGTCTTCATTTATATAAATATTTATTAATTAATGTTGGGTCAGGTGTTTTCCACACGTGAAAACCTAACGACTGGAGTTCAATATGGAACCGATCAAGTTACACCTACGTGTGGGCGTGCGATTCGGGGATGTCTTTTGTTCAGGTCAGTCAGATGAGCAGGACGTGACTGGTGTCCAGTCCGACTGTTATAACCGTTTCTTTGTTATATATTATACGGCGATCTATGATTAGAGATCTTTACACCCTAAGAACTTAACAATTAACTAAAAATCTTTGCTTCATTGGTATACTTTTCCATTTAACCATTTCTCAAACACCAAATTACTTTCGGACTGTAGTAAATGTCTGTCTTTGGAGGTATACAGTAGAAATTCATAATTTAAAATATACATTTTAAATTGCAAATCTATTCTTTTCAAGAGTAGACAATTCATAGATACAAAATTCATCAAATACGTGTATATATTCACTGAAGACGGATATTCATAAAATACTCGGGTGTTTGAGAAACAGTTAAAAAGGATTTAGATTAATCCACAAGTAACTGGTTATTAATTACCTTAAGCAGTTGTTGGAGAAGATCAGTTCACTATAAATATTATTACAAAATTTTAATTTTCATCAATGGTTAGGGTGCTTTATTATTTTATATAAAAACATTTCTGAAGAACTCATCTCGAAGTTCAAAAAATTGTAAAAATTCTGGTGTTTAAAAGTCTAAAATAATCCAGGTAATGCATTTAAAGATCTTAAAATATTTAAAACTGTATGTTTATAATATTCAATTTTGTTTTCCATTAAAGTTACGAATAGATTCTTACGAAATTGGATATAAAATTTAGGTCATTGATGAAAGTTGTAATTATTTTCATTTCATTTCTTAAAAGATGTTAAATATTTTTTCTTGTGTATTTCATCTTTAGTTTTGACATAAAAAATTTGTAGTGAATATTTTTTGTTTACAGTCTACCCCTTCTATAACACTGTTGATTATTCAGTTTTATATGAATTCCATGTTGTATGAGTCACTTAGATTTTACAAATACATGAGCCGTTCACAGCCCGGCATACGTATTTGTAAAATCTAAGTGACTCATACAACATGGAATTCGTATAAAACGGAATAATCAACAGTGTTATACGGGGGTCGGCTGTACTTAATAAATATTAATTCATTCATTTGAAAACAAGGAAATAAAATTTTACAATAATAATAATTATTTTCTTGTTTTCTGTTGTTTAAACTATTTTACAAAGCTTATTAAATAAGCTAATAAAGTAGTTTTAAATATAAATACATGAAAAACTGTTGTTTAATATAAATTAATAATATGTAAGTAATAAACAAAATTATTTATATTTTATTCTTACAGAATACATTTTGCTGTACTCTTTAATTGTCATTGACAAGATACATTAAGTTTTTTAAAATGAGTAATGTTAATTGAAAGATGGGAGTTTGTATTTTTATTCAGATAAAAGAATAACTAAAAATAATGTTTTATAAACTAATTAACATGTGAATTAAAATTCTTTAATATATAATGATTATATATATTACTTATACATTATTATATATACATTATTGATTAATATATTAATTGTTCCCAAGCTTTTAAGATTACAGATTAGTAAATTATAACCAAAAAAATTATTATTTTGAATACAAAACAATTATATATTATATTTGTTACCTAATGACATTAGTCCTTCCAATATAAGTCAGCAGTTGTCAAACCAGATTAAACAACTTTTAAACCATTTGTAAGGGGAAAGGGGTATCAAATGCCTGGGGGCTGCAATAAACAACTATTTACTACAACTAATAGCTACAACTGGTTGAAAAGTAGTTTAGTCTAATACCAACTTATGTTGGAAAGACTGTACGTTTCAACCAGCAATTTTTCTATTCAAATGTATACATACATCGGTCGTACACAAAGTGTTTAGCCGGCAGAAAAGAGGGTAAGGGAAAGGGGAGAGGAGATAGACGGTAGAGAAAGGTAGGATCCTTCTGAACGGCGTGCGTATGGCTACAGTACCCTCTATGTTTGATGTTGGCGTGCAGTTTTTAGGCTGCGAGGGCATAGTCCCCGAAGGGTCTAAAAGAAAACCTGAGTGTAGCGAACACCAATGATTCAGTGCCGCACGAATAGGTAAGTGTAGAAGTTAGTGCCAAGTGGCTGTTAGTAGGAAGACTTATATCTACTTAATACTAATAAAACTGAATGCGATCGCGAATCTTAATACTACTAAACAGCTAGACAGACAGCGCGAAAAGCAAACGAACACAATGACAAACTAGAGACGAACGGACCGACAGAGACAAACGAGCAAGATCCCAAAATTTTTAAATTTTTATTTATTTATATTTTTTGTGTGTTTATTTT